TATCAGTGTGTGTGAGAGAATTCGCGTCGTGTTTAACAAAGAACGGTGATCCAATATATGTCGGCCGTACCGTACGCAAATGTCAGCGACAGCTTAAATAAACTAGTTTCATAAGCGTCCAACCCTCGCCCCCCCCCCCCTCCAAAACGTATGCTAGTAGTGTGCAATAGGTGCATGAGAGAAAGAGAGAACACACATATTCTTTCTCTTTCTCTCTCTCTTTCTCTCTCTCTTTCTCTCTCTTTTACTCACTCATTCTCTCATGAAGGTTTTGCACGTTCACACGAGCTTTACACGGTTAATAGTGTGAACTAGTTGTACGAGTCGGAGGTCATGCGAGAAACGGCGACAAGGTGGGGTGGAGTGGGGTGGGGTGGGATGGGGTAGAAGCTTTAGATTTATTTCCTTCCTCATAAATTTGACGCAACCCTCCTCACCTAAAATACCCGCCTATCTAGCTACGATCATCGTTGATGAATCGGTCGTGCCATTTACGATCCAACACGCACGCACACGGTTACATTTTGACGGTGGTGTAGATGAGTGTAGTAGGCCGTGTTACCTGGAATTTATTTATCGTTCATATTATTGCGAATACTTGGAATAATTATTATGTTAAGGTTCTTTATTTTTCTTTTTTTCTTCTTTTTTTTTTAACATTTATTTATTTATTTAATAATATTTATTAACGTGTTTTAAACGTATCTCACGATTGGTCTAATAAATGACCGATTGTTCATTTTCTGGGAAGTAATTTCTTAGGAGTTATTTGACGAGTCAATGATTCTTATAGCATAAATGGTATATTTTTTTATATTCATATTTATACACTCGTTAAATATATTATGACTTTCTTTTTTTTTTTGGAAATGTGGTCATTATGTAATAAAGATTCAATTGTATAACAATATTAAACGGTTTGAAATGTTAATGTAGAAACGCGAATAAAGTTAAATATTTTCTTTTCTAATAATTTTATGGTTTTCTCTCTTTCTCTCTCTTTCTCCGAATTTTGACGTTAACGTACAACTATGAGAGGTATATATTTTCTGTAGCATTTTAGGATAGATCGATTGTTTGACATACATGTATGCTTGATAAAATATGTAGGTCGGGTATATTGAATAAAGGTCTACATTTCTCTAGGGGATCTCTTTTTCTCCCGAAACAGATACTTAAACTTTAGACAATATTTGACCGTCGATAGAAGCCGGATTGTTGAATCAATATATTTATTAGACTGTAGGATAGATAATGGTTCATTCAAATATACGAATAAAATTGATATGGAAGAAATGGTAAAAAGAACAAAAATATTGGATACCCAATGATACTCGTATTGTATAAAACAATTTAAGGATAATAATAAATGAAGAAAATTTCTGGAATTTTCATAACGTCGAATTGCAATGGTCACTTAAATTCTGAAACTAATTTTTGTTAACTTTTCGACCTGTCCTTTTTTTTTTGCGCAAAGTTAAATCCGAACTTATAAAAACTCGGAAGAAACTATCAAGTAACTCGGTTGATAATATAAAATATAATAAATAAATTTTAATATTGTTATTAAAGTATTAAATAGAAGATACATTTTATTATAGTAAAAACTATAAAGCGTGGACGTGAAAAATTACAAAGTAATCGTAATTTGATTTATTCTAGAATAATTACGTATGTAATACGCGTGTCCTTTGGATTCGTTCGTAAAATTATTTTATATTTAAAGGAAAAAAAAAAGAAAAAACTTCTTAAACTAACAACGAGAAAAAATTTAAAAAATTTCCGTATAATATTTGAATAATAAGAATATATAGGTTAATAAATTCTAGAAAAAAAAATCGTAAAATATTATTTTTCTATAAGAGATGTACGCGAAAAAGTACGAATAATAATGGGATACTGATTTGAAACTTAATAAACAAATATCATTACTACTCTTCTTTTTTTGTTTTAATTGTTCACTTATATATATAATATATCAGTTTTGAAACTCACATGCAAGTATTGACAAATCCGATCGATATTACCAATAATTATATACGAATCTTAATGTAGTTAACTAGAAAAATTTACGAAGAAACTTAGTATTCAAGAAAATATATAGATGTATAATTAGAAAACTCGATAGAAGGTATTATAAATTAAAAGAAGAGACAACTTGAAAGATCTGAGTAACAGCTATACTTTTAGAAACAAAATTAACTCGTTAAGTTAAACGTATCTCAGTTAACGAAGATCGAATTAGAACGTTGAAACTTTTTTATAGATTATATATACATAGAGTGTTTTAAAAAAATCATTTAATATTTATACAGTGCACGGAACACATAATTCTCAATAACGAAGTTTTAGTAAACGTCAATCTAAAAATCACAATCGTTTTCTAACGATATAATAAAATAAACATGTTTGTATGTTAAAATAATATAATAAACTTAGTAATACTAGTTTTTAGATCAAAATTAAGGTGTGACAATTTGTTACAATGTCAAATGTATAAAATATTGAATGGTTTTCTAATACTTTGCATAATATTCTACGTATTATATATGGGTTTAGCTTAGTTCACGTCTATTAAGAATCCAATAGCAAGGATATTTGAGTTTTTTGAACGTCTTAACGAACGCCAAGCGTTTCAGGTAGTTTTACCTGACGCAGAATTGATCGATTGACAGCTCGAGAAGAGTCGAGAAGGAGATCGATTTGATATATCGAAAACTTATTTTTCAAACGTCTCGTCTCGCGATTTTACAAGTGAAGTATCATCGATATCGTTCAAAAATATATATATATATATATATATATACCTGTTTGGATATATTTCTATGCGTATGTATGGATGGATGTGTATGTGTTCGATCTCGTCTTGACTTCTAGCTATTAGTATCACGAAGGTTCGTTGAATATTCGGCATTCATCTTGCGAAACATTTGACAGGCATTAATAGTTAGTTCTAAAGTGATTGAAAAGGGTTGTTAAATCATGATCACCAAAGAAGAAGTGGTTTAATTTCATCCGAAGAGTGTCTTCCATTTTTTTCGATTTTAAAATACAAATTTTATATTAAATGGGAACGGGTAGAACAAAGTTCTTTTTTTTTTGTAGAGGGACGATACTGTTAACACTGTGATTTATACAAATTTTATATTAAATGGGAACGGGTAGAACAAAGTTCTTTTTTTTTTGTAGAGGGACGATACTGTTAACACTGTGATATATAAAAATATTATATATATATACATATATATATATATATATATATTTTTATACATTTATGTATAAATAGTTAGTATAAAAGAGACGTAAAAAGAGAATACGAATATAAGAAAAAGTGTAGGCATTCGCGTGATTGCCCTTTAAAATGTACCTAAAGTTCTTCCAAACGTTTTTATTTTCTATCATCTATATGATTCTTTATTTTTTCTTTTTCATTAATTTTATATTTTAATCTTTATTCATTGCTGTTCTATCATTCAAAGTCTTAACTATTTCACTGCCCCTATCATTTATTTTCTTTTATTCATTATCTTCCAGTATTTTATTCTTGACCAATTTAATTTGCTTTTATTTAAGTTTTCTTGCACGTTTCGTTTTATCTCTTTTAATGTAAAAAAAAATTTTCGTTTCATCCCTTTTTTTTTTTTCCTCTCACACTTTATTATTCCTTTTTCTTTTATTTTTCTTAAATTAATTTTTGATTATGGTAAGCAACGTGAGGTTTCCATTTAAGTAAANGGTTCTGTATACAATTTTTATTTTTCTAAGTATAACATATAACTCATAAAAGATATATAAAAAGAAAAAATAATGGAACATTCAATCCCATATATAAATTTGAATTCGATATCATTTATAAAACTCTCATCTATAGAACAACACCTACGTAATCTTGACACACAATATAGAACCACAATTCGTCAAGAATCTCTCAAGATTCAAGTAACCATTGACACAATATTATCTCCTTATCAAGTAAACGAGTTTCGCAAACGGTGGTTTCCTTGAAAAGGGGGAAAAAAAGGAATGAAAGGAAAACTACCCTTTCTTTTCCCATGATTAAGATAACAACACGTATATACCAATAAACACAAAATTATTATTTCTTTATGGGGGGAAGAAAAAAAGAAAAATCAACATTATTGTACAAAATTGTCATTAATATTTTCACTGACGAAAATATTTTTATAGTAATCGATAAAATCAATTTGAAACGAAGAAAATTTTGACGAATGAAATGACAAACCTTATGAAAAGCAAACAAGAGAAAGAAAGAAGCAGAGATAGAGATAGAGAAAGAGAGAGAGAGAGAGAACCCGTTTGGATAGGTAGAATAGAATAACAAAGTATGCGTATGTGTATGTGTGTTAGAATAGTACAGACAGTAGACCGATTCTCTCTCTAGCTATCTCATTCTATCTTTCACTCTATCTTTCTCTCAGGTTTTATGTGAGGGTGATGGCGAGCAAGGGTTGTGACGGGGTTGTATAGTCAGTTTCGAGGTACAAGGGTACACATAGGCAAGCCGAAAGTTCGTTCGGTGGAAACGAACGATAAAGCCGTCAATGACGAACCCCATTCGACGGAAGTCTGCCCGATGAAAACGTTTCCGGCCTTACCGTTCCCCCTGACGCAGGGGGGACACTCCACTTCATTTCTATCTTTCTCATTCTCTATCTACCATCATCCTATCCTGTCCTGTCTAGTCCTGTCTTGTTCTGTCTAGCCCTATCCTGTCCTGTTCTGTTCGCCTATCTCGAGTAGTTTCTCTTTCTTCTATCGTGACCATTTAATAGAATTTTGAAAGATTCAAATATTAGTTCTAGATCTATTCTGTGTGTACCAATGTATTATCAATATTTGTAATATTCTTATTACAAAAAAAAACGTGATATTTATATTATAAGAAGTAAAAATGTATTATATTTTATATCAAATACTTTATCAATTTTGATTGAATTGCATTTTATTTTACTAATAAATTATAACCGTTTTCGTTTCAGGCATGTTATACGTCAATAAACCAACGACGGTGGCTCGCGTGGAAGATGATGGGGTTAAGTAGATAAAAAAGAAAATAAAAATAAAGGAAAAAAAAATAAGAAAGAACGAGAAAGAGAGAGAGAGAGAGGGAGAAAGAAGGAGCGTGCATGAGATAGTGTGGGAAGAAAAACGAGAAAAAGAGGAATAGAAGCATATCTTTCCTACAAAAAACCCCACCCACCCTCAACCCTTTCATTAAAAGACACCATAAAGACGAGAGAGAATCATCAGTAGTTGATTCTGATTGGCGCACGATGCTCTGCTATCGAGCTCTTGTCTTCCTTTTTGCTGTCAACGTGCCAATCGGTGAGTAGGACACATTTTTATACTTCATCGTTACAACCATAATCAATCGTGCATTATAAATAAATCGTTTAAAAACATCTCACCAATTATAATATATTAATAATATACTTTATATGGATCGTATTTCGTAGATTAATAAATCATATTACTAAAGTTAATTGATTTATGTTCATACATAAATAATTATAAACACAATTTGCAGCTTTCTTTATTTTCGATAAAGTAAAATCATAATTTAAAAAGTGTCTCACCATAGTCTCGTCTATGTATATGTAATATAATATATAAATGCATATACACATAACTATGTATGTATATTGTAACAGAATAATTTTATCTCTATCCATTTTTCACATTTACCCGTATAGGAAAACACATGACACGTTTTATTGAAATATCCGCGATAGAGACAGTCGATATTTTATTCGATAAAATTCATTTAATTGTCTCATACGAATGTATTCCAATATATTCGAATCAATTAAGTTGACCTATATATATCTATATCTATATATATCCATAAAGAATAAAACACAAGGAAAAAACAGAAACCTTTCTTATAATATCAAATAATGTCCCCCCTACATATTGTCAGAAAATTTAATAATTAAACGAATCCCAATTATTTGTAAGTATCATGTTGTTCGATATACAAATTTATTCGTTTGTAAAATTTCTCTTAGATTAATTGAAAAAAAGAAAGGAATACAATTTTTCTATAAATTATCATTGAATAATAATTTCAATGAACCCTAATTGTAATATATTTAAATAGGAAGATAATATAGAAGATAGTAAGAACTAGATTTAAGGAAATCTAATCTTAGGTGAAGTACGAGGGGTCGAGAGGGAAGTAAGAGGATGAGATTGAGGTGGCAGGGGGAAGGGGAGGAGAACGGGGAGGGGGTTGGATAGGAAAATCAGTCGTTTGTGCCAACGACCATGTCCGGAACAGACGAGATGTGCAATGCCAAACCCGTGTTATACGATTCTGAGGAAATAGATTTCCTATGTACATGTATAAATATATATATATATATATACCGGGTGTATATCATCGAACGCGATCGGTTCAAATTATTCTGTCGTTAGATCGATCAAGAATATTATCAATATATAATATAATATAATAAAACTATCAATTACATATATGATCTTTTGTTTCGTCCATTTAAATCGATGAACAAAAAGTTTAGAAAAAAATATATTCCAACACACCTTGATTTGTTTTTAAACTCGAGGAAATAGTTTTATCACACGTTGAGTTATTGTAATGATCGTATTAAATTTTTTAGTATTAGTTATTTTTTTTTTTCTTTTTTATTGTCGTGAACAGAAGAGAAAAAAAGAAAGTACGATAATCACAATTTGAATATTCTCTTTGAATCATCTTACAATTAGATAAATTATAGATTTCAATGAAATTAAATATCTTCTTGTTCTTTCCCATTTTATTAGGACTTAGGTTGCTAGCCTCACCCCGAGAAATGAAATATTTGTTCTTTATTTTCTGTTCTTTTTTTTTTAAATCGGCATTATAATAACAGTTGAATATTTCATTGGCGATCATCACGTTCCCGTAGTTTCACCCAGTACGTATTAGAGATATTTCTATATAGATAAATAGATATATATGTATAGATAGGATTCCTGGTCAAGTTCTGTTGGTGATGTTTATTCGACGAAGTGGGGAAGAGAGTAACGCTGCGCTTGTCGTTCGAATTAAATTGCCTCCTAATGCTTTTCCGTGCGAAAGGAAAACCGTCTGCGTCTGATTTCGTTCAAACCAGTGTTGCCCCCATTCCTCCTCCAACCCAGTCAGTCTTGTCTATCCCAACGTACAAGCATTCCTTTTTCCATTCTTAGAATTTCATTACGTCTTATCAAGAACGTTAAGATCGCACCAATCCAGAAAAAAAGGAAGAAAGAAAGAAAAAAATAACAACACCTACTTCGATCAATTGCATTTTCCATCCTGTGGTTTATCATTAATATAATATTATATTCATCGTAAATAAATTGATCATTTATTTTGTTCTCTCTTCTCGTTATTAAAATTAAAATCAATTCATTGTGTGTTGTGTGTGTGTGTGTGTGTGTTATTGTATTTCATTTATTTATTTGTTTATTTATGAATTTTTTATTTTTTTTTGTGTTTTCTGATGGAAGAAGTAGAAGTTTTAAATACAATGCCGCGTAATATAATATTTCAATGAATGTAGTTTTTCAGGATTACATATTTGTATTATATTTTGTTGGTCATGCTGCATATTATAATAGAATGTAATTTAATTAAATTATTTGTTATTGTTGTCGTTTATTATTTTGTTTAGACGTTAAACAAAATTTTATTCGTATTTACTTTATCGTATCATCAAATCATTATATTAATTTCAAACGTAACGCATTTATAAATTGGCAAAATTTAATTTGATCGAAATAAAATAAACGCTAGAAATGATATTTTTTATGAGAAAGTAATGTTCACTTACGAATAAAAAGTTTCTCATTCTTTTTGCTTATATTCGTTGAAACATAATATATATTTTTTTTCTAATATAAACATTTATAATATGTTCGATTTATCCTGAACGAATTCGCACGACGAAAAAAAGAAAAGAAAAGAAAAGAAAAGAAAAGAAAGAAAGAAACATAGTGAAAGGGTGGATAAGAGAGAAAAAGGGTTGAAAGGCAGTAGAATTCGATCTTTCTTTGTAGAAAGAGATAAGATTGTTTGTCCATAACGTGGCCGGTCCAATTGTTAGAAGCAAGTAAGGAAGAAAAGGAACAAGAAGAAGAAGAAGAAGTGGAAGAGGAAGAGGAAGAACCCTTTCCCTTTCTCCCTCAAACTCTTCTTCGTTTCCTCCCTTTTTTTTCCTTTTTCAACCCCCACCCCAGGTCAACTCACCCACCCACCCACTCTTATCTGAAAACAACGAGCCTTCCGGCCAAATTGCTTGGCCCGAGCAAAACGTGATTAATTGATCTCGTTTCTTATTTTTTTTTCTCCTTCCTTTTATATTTTCCCTTTTTGCTTTTTTTCTTCTTCTAATCTTCCAACTTTTTCGCGTAGAAATTTTCTCCTACCAATCATCGATAATCGAATAAATCTTTTCGTTAATATCAAACAAAAAATCTCGCATCTATCAGCGTGTGTGTATGGTAAATTGTGTTGATTAGAATGCGAGATAGAAAATGAATAGAAATTTTGCGCGTAATAAGTAAGAAAAAGAGAAGAAGATAGAAAGTTAATTGTGTTATTACGTGCATAAATATTCTATAAACAACAAATTCTTTTCCTATATATATATGAATTCATCTATTTCTATTATAACGTTCAACAATTTTGTTGATAAAACTCAGTGTATTGATTGTGGATATTAATCGATACTCGACTAAATTCAAAGCTCAAAAGATTAGCGGGATTATGATTAAAATTGAAAAATTAATGAATAACGCGTAGATGATGCGTAATTAAATATAAATGAAGAAAGAGATCACGAGAGAAATGAATAATAAAATAATCTTCTTTTATAAAATTCTCCTAATAAATCTCTTGTAGAAAATTTTCTCATAAAATACACACGCGTGTACACGTGAACACGCACGCATACAAATATATAAAAATGACAAATATTCTCTTTCAGCTATAGTTTCAGTTGTTATTATTATTATTGTAGAGATAAACGAAAAACAAGATGAAGAAAGATAGTAACATTGTTGTTTAAAGAGAATAAGCGAAGTAAAGAGAAAGATAGATAGTTAGATAGAAGAGTCAAATCTCTGTGTGTATATGTGTGTGAATGGGGTTTAGTATGTGTTGTTAGGGTATAGAAGGATAGCAGGCTCGTGACAGGAGGACTCGGTGAGTTCGATTTGATCGCATTGCATTGCTAGCCGAGAATGTGAGTGCACGGGGGTGAGTTTACCGGTTCCTGGCATTGCCGGTGTGTGTCTTGTATCGGTCGTGGTGAGATTCGAAAGTAGATTGGGAAGAGCCGGGGCAAGCGTGCGGCAGACAGCCGAGGTAATACATACAATCTCCCTTGTTGTCTGGCATCGAGTTGCCCGAGAAAGAGAGAGAGAGAGAGAGAAAGAGAAAGAGAGAGAGAAAAAGGGGGTTGAAAGAGGGTGAATTCTGAAAAGCGTGCCAGCCACCGGAAGTCTTATAAACAATCCCAAGAGCGACGGCTACCAGACTCCCTTCTTTCTATTTTTCTTTTTTTCTTTTCTATTCCTTTTATTTTCTTTTCTTTTTTTTTCTGTTACTCTTTTTCTACCTTTTTCTATGGGTATTTCTCGTATTCTATTCTATGGAGAAGGAAATAAACGATGTTATATAGAAATGTTTGAATTTCTTTTATAGAATCTCAATGAAATTTGAAGTTATGTTAATTGTAAATGCCGGAAGGTGTCTGATTTTTTTAGACATGACTATTTATTGGATCAGTATTTCTCTCAATATATATATATATAATAAAATATTAAATTAATATAAAATATAATATTAATAAGTCAGTATAATACCAGTTAATAATATAATAATGATCAGTTGTTTAAATACTATATTATTTTCTATGCAATAGATAATGCAATACTGACCCAATTTTAAATACTGACAAATTATTCACACGAAACGAAACACATTCAAATGTATTAATTATTTATTCTATTAAAATTAATTATTGCAAAATACTGACTTAACAAATACAATTTCTCTTTTTCTCTCTTTTTAATGTTCTTCTTCTTCTTCTTATCTTTATCTTTATTTTTGTTCTTTTTTGTCAATTCTGTAACGCGTTTTAGAACTTACATACGTGTACACTACTGATACGGTTTGTAGCAACGGGACGATCGAAGAAAAGCACCTTTGCCAAGCGTGACTACAATGGTCAAGTTAAGTATTATATATATATATATATATATAAGTCTTTCTTCGAAAGATACATTACAAAAGAGTAAGAAAAAGAAGAAGAAGAAAAAGAAGATGATGAAGAAGC